TTGACAAGCTGGAATGTGTCCAGAGGAGAGCGACTAAAATGATAAAAGGCCTGGAGAACAAGCCCTATGAGGAGCGGCTTAAGGAGCTGGGCATGTTTAGCCTGAAGAAGAGAAGGCTGAGAGGGGATATGATAGCCATGTATAAATATGTGAGAGGAAGCCACAGGGAGGAGGGAGCAAGCTTGTTTTCTCCTTCCCTGGAGACTAGGACGCGGAACAATGGCTTCAAACTACAAGAAAGGAGATTCCATCTGAACATGAGGAAGAACTTCCTGACTGTGAGAGCCGTTCAGCAGTGGAACTCTCTGCCCGGAGTGTGGTGGAGGCTCCTTCTTTGGAAGCTTTTAAACAGAGGCTTGATGGCCATCTGTCAGGGGTGCTTTGAATGCAATATTCCTGCTTCTTGGCAGGGGGTTGGACTGGATGGCCCATGAGGTCTCTTCCAACTCTTTGATTCTATGATTCTGATGTGACACACTCCTGACAAGTGTTATATCTGTTGTGCACCCTATACTGATGTTTTTTATGAGGTTCACATACATATGCTGGATTTACACCGGCTTGGTACAGTGGGCTAAGGATAGCATTGAGCTCAACAGAGTCGAAAGCCTTTTGGTAATCATTGAAAGCAAGACAAACCAGAACTCAATATTTACTGCTTTTTGACTGTGTGGATGTGATTGAGGGTGGAGTGGCTGCACCTGAAGCCTGCTTCTTCCCTGTTGATTTCCACATCTTGGGATATTATTCTTTGTAGCAGGATCCTTGTGAACAGTTTACATAGTTGCGAGGGGAGTGTCATAGGACGAGAGTTGCTCAGGTTGTCTGTGTCTCCTCTCTTCATTAGAAATATGGTTTTAGACGGTGTAATAACACTATCTATCTATTTATATAATAAAAGTGAATGTTTGTATGTATGCTGAGGGTGGAAGGGCGTAAGTGTATGTGTATGTGGCAGCGTTCTGATTGGCTCTCACTTCCACAGGCCACAGAGACTTGCATGAGTGACGGACCTGGACCAAACTTGGCACACATAACCCCCATGACGCACTTTACGTCCTGGCGCGGTTTGGGGGAGAACGGACAAAGGATGATGGGATTTGTAGTACTTTCATACATTTGATCCCACAGACCACTATGGCAACCAACAAAGACCGATAAAGACCAAACTTGGTACACAGAGCCCTCATGACCCACTCTACATCATACTGCAGTTTGGAGGAGGGCAGACCATGCATAATGGTACTTGAAGTACCTCCACTCACTTCCCGAGACCGCTGCGACCCTTATCCAATGAATGATCAAGACCAAACTTGACAAACATAACACCCATGACCCCTTTTATGTCCTGGTGAGGTTTGGGGGACGGACGGACAATGGATGATGGGATTTGTAGTACTTTCCAACCCTCAGGTTCCCACAGACCACTGTGGCCCCCAGCAAAGACCAATAAAGACCAAATTTGGCACACAGAGCACCTATGACCCACTCTACATCCTACTGCAGTTTAGAGGAGGGTGGATCATGGATGATGGGGCTTGAAGTACATCCACTAACTTCTCGAGACAGCTGTGACCCTCATCCAATGACTGATCAAGACCAAACTTGGCACACATAACCCCCATGGCCCCCTTTATGTCCTGGTGAGGTTTGGTGGAGGACGGACAATGGATGATGGGATTTGTAGTACTTTCACACCCTTCGGTTCCCACAGACCACTGCGGCCCATAACAATGTCCGATAGAGACCAAACTTGGCACACACAGTCCCCATGACCCACTCTACATCCTGGTGCAGTTTCAAGGAGGTTGGACCACAGATGATGGGACATGCAGTACTTTCACACACTTTATGAGACCACTGTGACCCTCACCAATGACAGAGCAAGATCAAACTTGGCACACAGTCACCGTAACCCACTCTACATCCAGGGGCTGTTTGGAGGAGGATGGACCATGCATGATGGGATTCGCAGTACCTTCACTAATTGATAACTGATAAAGAACACCTTTGCCACACAATGCCTTTCTCAAATAACCTGGGCGGTGCCGGGTCCCCAAGCTAGTATTATAATAAGAGCTGAGTCTTTGGAATCGTTTGGGTCTTGGAATGAAGTTATTGCAGAAAGGAAACGCTTTCAAATGTGATCCTTTGGGTGCATCTCACCTGACGTAATGATTGGAATGCTGTAAATTTCCAAATATTCAAATGGTGTTGTATACTTCACTACGCCCCCTTCTAAAAGTTTCTTTTGGGAGCCTCTTTTCAAAATACATTTGCTCTCACCTTTTTAAAAAGTTCAGTCACTGAATCACTAACACACATGCCAACCATTGCGAATGGCAAGTTTAAAGGATCCTTATCTTATAATATGTGTCCAAAAAGCCTCTTTTTAAAGCCTTGTTTCATTATCCAGGCGTCAGCTGCTTGTGAATGAGAACCTTTCAAAGGTGTTTGCTATGAGGTTCCGCCTGCTCTGTTTTACAAGCTGGCAAGAAAGAAAAATCTGTTCTAAGCTTAAACGTTTGGCAAACCAGTTTCTATTGTGATCTTTTTTTTTTAAAGAGAGATATGATCAATTGTCCTTTTTTTTCCTTTTTTTATATTTGCTTTCTTTAATAAACTGTTTAGTTAGTAAGACTGGACTCTTGTGTGGTGCAAAGGTGAATCCAGGCCAGAGTGCAACACCCTGCACCGTCTGCCAGAGACATTGTAAGGAAGGCCTTCCTTCTCAGAGCTGGAGAAAGGGGAAAGTAGGCAGGCAGTGGTCCCAGTGACACGCAAGCAGCACCGGGTATATACACAAATACATGTAATGGAATAGAGTGGAATGGAGTATTGTTGCCAGTGTTACAAATATGTTTTAGCAGCTGGTGATGTGAAGCTGATAGGAGCTTTAGGAGGGTCTTCCCCAGGAGGAGGGACCCTAGGACCCCACCAAAGAGGGATCGCTACTTTGGCGAGCTAGAGAAGCCTGATTTCAGCAATTTTATTTGGATTAAAAATTCAGAATAAATCTCACCAAAGTTGAAGAAGAGGCATCGAGGTGGTTTTATTAGTGATTCAGCTGAAAAGGATGCAATGTAGCAATCATTTGCCTACAGAGCATACCAATACAGAGATCAGAGGCATTTTTATAGGAATTTACAGGTTTGAAAGTTCAAAATTCCCACCCTCCGCCCTCCTCCCGGCTCGCAGGTGATTGGTTGACGCGATTCCAGCAGAGAGGAGGTGCGGCTGCCCGCCCTGTGTCAGGGCCAATCACAGAGCTCCTCCGCTGCATGGGAGCCAATGGGAAGACTCCCCCCGCTTCAGCACTCTGGCAAATTAGGAGAGGGGAGGCGGGACGAAGCAGGAACAAATGGGCTGGTGAAGGGATCAATGGGTTGATGCCCAGGGGCCCGGAATCCAAGAAATCCAGTCTATTGCGGATGCCCAGGCTATTGTCCTTGAGTGGATTAATGATGAGCCTTGATCACCTTATCCGAGTCTTCCTGTTACAATCAGATAAGGCACAAAGGAGAGGCTTGGGAGGAATGTCTAGTTTGGAATGAAATAAACAAAATTGGGAAGGCAACCTCCCAAGGGTCGTCTCGCTCCCATTGTGAAATGACCCAAAAGTTTGCCAAAGGAAATTCTAGTCTGATGGCTAGTTTTGAAATCAAATAGGAATTCCAAGTTATATTGTTTATGCCAGAGTTCCAATGATATGGGTTTCTTTTGTGGTCGTTGATTGCCCTTCCAACAGCTGGCCGTCTCCTTGATGGGCTTCCTTCACGAGGAAGGGGTGAGGGGTTGGGTGCCAAAAGGGAAAATACATGGGGAAATATAGGAATCCAGAAGAAGTTCATATCAAACCTCCCTTCCCTCCCTCCACCCGCCAGAGAAATTGATTAAAATATTAATTTTATTAAAGCATGAGTCCGTAGTTCATATTGGGGAAGTTCGGATATGAAAAAGAGTTCATTGGAGCCAGAAAGAAATTTGAAGAAAGTCCAACAGTCACAAAAAGGTGTTTGATTATTTTCCACTGAGCCAAAGGATGGATTCCCGCAGCGCCAAGGTCGAGTTGGTTTTTGGTCCTTGGGAAACTATAACTCCCTCCAAGGATTGGAGCCCCGAGGACAGGCTCTTCCCCGAGAGCCTCATGGGGTAGCCACACCAAGTCTTCAGGGCCGGGGCCTGGCAGGGGCGATGAAATGGTAAAGCGCGGCCGCTCGGCAGCGCGGCAGCAATGAAGCTGGCTTTTTTTGACAATCAGCTGTTTCTTGTAAAATATATTCTTTAAAACAAAAGGTTATTCCCCGGGCGTAGAAGCCCAAAATGCAAAAAGCGAAATAGCAGGTAGTGTTAAAATCAAGCTAGGAAAAATATGCCATCAAAAGGGAGGCGATCTGCCATCTCGTGGATACTGGGGCCCAAAAGGGGAGACTTAATATTCGCAGTTTGGCGGTGCGCAGATTCGCCCTCCCCGGAACTCCAGAAAGGCATTCCGGGCAGGCCTGCAGTCTTCCGCGGCCTGGAAAAGGTTAGTTTTGTGCATTGGGATAGTTTCAGGCAAGAAGAGACAGGAAGTATCAAGCTAGAGAGTTAAAAGTTGCAATTTCATTAATCTTTATTTGGGGATTTGTTACAAAGTTGGGGCTGGGTAGGAAAGTGAAAAGGGAGTGAATAGGGCTGTGTTGACTCCCTGGTTGAGCTTGCTGTTGGAGCACATTTCATCAGTTTGGCCCAATCTTTGCACCCAGGAACTGTGGAACTCCCTGCTGCAGGTCAAATAAATTTAAAAGCAGGGGTCTGAGCTGCGCTCAGTATCAAGTGTACCTTTAAGAAATAGTTGATTTGAATGGCTCTTTTTGAGGGGAGGAGGACGACGAAAGCAGAATATAAATCTCTTAAAGAGCATCCAAATAAACAGTGCAAACCATGATAGATGTCAATGGAGACTACATTCAACTGATTGACAAACATGAGTGACTTGCTTCCTCTTTTCTTCCTAGTGACAATGCAACATATACTCACGGTCTTGAACAACTGGTTTTGGTGGGAGGACATGTGGATGCCCAAAAATTGTTCCTGGGCCAACTTCAAAGACCACGATGGATACGTTTTTCCCAAGCCACAGCAGCTATTAGCCACGATCCCATATGCCTTCGTGATGTTGGCCATTCGGTTCTTTCTCGAAAGGTGAGACACCCTCTTGGTTTGTTTAAACTAGTTTCCTAGCCTCGGAAAAGCGAGAGTATAAATATGGATGCAGAATCAGGAGATGGGTCTGTATTAAATCACTGGCTGTGACACAGCGGTTTATGGTTAAGGCTATATCACTGGGTTGGAATAGAGCAGCTTAACAACTATACTTTATTTGTATTCTGCCCTATCTCCCCATGGGGACTCAGGATAGATTCCAGCAATCACAAACATGAAGGCAAACATTCAATGCCTACAAGTCCCTGACATCCTAGCCAGTTGACCAACTGTTAGGATTTTGGGGAGCTGAAGGCCAAAACACCTGGGGACCCACTTGATAGCCTGAGAAGCAATGTCCAAGGGTTTCTGACCAGGAACATAGGGCACAAGGGAAGAAACAAGAAGCCCCAGAATCCAGCCTCCTAGATTGGCCATTAGCTTTGCCTCCTAAACTGAAGATGACAAGGCTCAGTGAACAGGAAAGTTTCAGCTTTCACTTTCCCATGATGGACTGTTAAAGATGTCTCCACACATAGAATCATAGAATCAAAGAGTTGGAAGAGACCTCATGGGCCATCCAGTCCAACCCCCTGCCAAGAAGCAGGAATATTGCATTCAAATCACCCCTGACAGATGGCCATCCAGCCTCTGTTTAAAAGCTTCCAAAGAAGGAGCCTCCACCACACTCCGGGGCAGAGAGTTCCACTTCTGAACAGCTCTCACAGTCAGGAAGTTCTTCCTCATGTTCAGATGGAATCTCCTCTCTTGTAGTTTGAAGCCATTGTTCCGCGTCCTAGTCTCCAAGGAAGCAGAAAACAAGCTTGCTCCCTCCTCCCTGTGGCTTCCTCTCACATATTTATACATGGCTATCATGTCTCCTCTCAGCCTTCTCTTCTTCAGGCTAAACATGCCCAGCTCCTTAAGCCGCTCCTCATGGGGCTTGTTCTCCAGACCCTTGGTCATTTTAGTCGCCCTCCTCTGGACACATTCCAGCTTGTCAATATCTCTCTTGAATTGTGGTGCCCAGAATTGGACATAATATTCCAGGTGACTTCCCTAGATCTAGACACTATGCTCCTATTGATGCAGGCCAAAATCCCATTTTTTGCCGCCACATCACATTGTTGGCTCATGTTTAACTTGTCCACGAGGACTCCGAGATCTTTTTCACACGTACTGCTCCCAAGCCAGGCATTGTCCCCCATTCTGTATCTTTGCATTTCTTTTTTTCTGCCTAAGTGGAGTATCTTGCATTTGTCCCTGTTGAACTTTATTTTGTTAGTTTTGGCCCATCTCTCTAATACCATCTCTCTAACACCTGTCGAATAGACTTGGGCAAGGCTGCCCACTGTCCACTTCATGGCAATACATTGAAAAAAAGTGGGGTATAGATAAACATAAACATAATAATAATAATAATAAGAAGAAGAAGAAGAGTGTGAGATCAAGCATGGTGCTTGAGGGTCAGATTAGGATTCTGGGAGGCCAGGGCTCAAAACCCATTGGGTGATCTTGGGTGATTCACACTCTCTCAACCTCATAGGAAGCCAGTGACAACCTATATCTGAACCAATGTCACCTAGAAGCCCAATATTTATGTCACTGTAAGTCAGAAATGACCAGGCTTCTGCGTTTTGGCTGAACCTCAATCTGTTTCTGCTGGCTGGATACCCGTATCCGTTTCCTGAAAATGGGCAAGTAGCTGGATTATTATTGTTATTTTACTGACACAAAAACACAGTATGTCACAGCAAAAGAGATCTATATGCTGGATTTAGTATCAGAAAATCACAAGTCGAACACTTCCCAAGCGTGTTTTTGAATGATACACACATATCCAAGTCAGGTGGCCTTTTACAGTTGACAGATCATGATTTTGTCAATGTTATTGTTTCCAAATGCCGGCTGAGATCTTTTGGCACAGCACCCAGTATGCCAATTATTACCACTGGGACCACCTGTGCTGGTTTATGCCAGAGCCTTTGCAGTTCGATTTTGAGGTCCTAATAATAGCTTAGTTTTTCTTGTTGTTTTTCCTCAATGTGACTGTCACCTGGAATAGCGACATCAAAATTCCAGCAAAATCAATAATCCAGACATTTTTCTTTTCCACAATTGTGATGTCTGGTGTATTGTGTTCCAAAAACGTCCCACAGTATTATTATTATTATTATTATTATTATTATTATTATTATTATATTATGTTGTAGGTTTTTCCGGGCTATATGGCCATGTTCTAGAGGCATTTTCTCCTGATGTTTCGCCTGCATCTATGGCAAGCATCCTCAGAGGTAGTGAGGTCTGTTGGAAGTAGGAAAATGGGTTTATATATCTGTGGAATGACCAGGGTGGGACAAAGGACTTTTGTCTGCTGGAGCTAGGTGTGAATGTTTCAACTGACCACCTTGATTAGCATTTAATGGCTTGGAAGTGCCTGGGGGAATCTTTTGTTGAGAGTGATTTGATGTGCCTGATTGTTTACTCTCTGTTGTTTTGCTGTTGTAATTTTTGAGTTTTTTAATACTGGTAGCCAGATTTTGTTCATTTTCATGGTTTCATTTTCATAAACAAAATCTGGCTACCAGTATTTAAAAAACTCAAAAATTACAACAGCAAAACAACAGAGAGTAAACAATCAGGCACATCAAATCACTCTCAACAAAAGATTCCCCCCAGGCACTTCCAAGCCATTAAATGCTAATCAAGGTGGTCAGTTGAAACATTCACACCTAGCTCCAGCAGACAAAGTCCTTTGTCCCACCCTGGTCATTCCACAGATATATAAACCCATTTTCCTACTTCCAACAGACCTCACTACCTCTGAGGATGCTTGCCATAGATGCAGGCGAAACGTCAGGAGAAAATGCCTCTAGAACATGGCCATATAGCCCGGAAAACTACAACAACCCAGTGATTCCGGCCATGAAAGCCTTCAACAATACATTGATATTATTATTCCATGTCTCCATGCATGCATCATGTAGCGTTTGGACAGACCGAGCATGCTCAGAATTTCTCAGATCTCACCTAGAATCTCGCGTGAGTAGGGATTTCAAAGAGAGAAGGGTTTTTTTTTCAACAATGAGCAGGGAGAGGGATAGTGGGTGCGGCCGAATCTCTGCGGTATGAAGGCAACTGCAGTGAAAGAATACGGAAAGAAAACTGAGACATTTAACAGTGTGATGAAGGTAGAGAAAACATCTGTTTCATTACAGAATGGAGTAAAACTGAGCTTTTCTCTGCCGGATACTTCCCTGCCTCAATGTGATGAAGTCCGAAATCTGTTAGAATTTATTTATTTACTTATGTATTTACTTTATTTATATACCGCTTTTCTCAGCCCTCAGGTGACTCAAAGCGGTGAACAACATTGATACAAAACATCACGAGACAAGTATAGGGCAATTAAAAACAATTGTAACATAAATCATTAAACATCCGTATAACAATCATTAGCGCCTCAACAGTGAAATCAGAATCCAGTCTCATCATCCATTATTCCATATTCCTATGTTCAATTACACTGTTTAATCAAATGCTTGTTCGAACAGCCAGGTCTTCACTTTCATCCGAAACGTCAGCAGGGAGGGGGCCGATCTGATATCTGCAGGCAGGGTGTTCCACAGCCGAGGGGCCTCCACTGAGAAGGCCCTGTCTCTCGTCCCCGCCAAGCGCGCCTGTGATGCAGGCAGGACAGAGAGCAGGGCCTCCCCAGATTATCTTAGTGTCCTAGTCAGTTCATAGGAGATGCGTTCGGAGAGGTAAGTAGGGACAGAACCGTTTAGGGCTTTCTAGGCTAATGCCAGCACTTTGAATTGTGCCCGGTAGCAAACTGGCAGCCAGTGGAGCTGGCGCAACAGAGGCGTAGTATGCTCCCTGAGTGCCGCTCCTGTTAGCAACCTGGCTGCCGAACGCTGGACCATTTGAAGCTTCCAAGCACTCTTCAAAGGCAACCCCACGTAAAGAGCATTGCAGTAGTCTATACGGGTTGTAACCAGAGCGTGGACTACCGTGCCCAAGTCAGACTTCCCAAGGTACGGGCGCAGCTGGCGCACAAGTTTTTGGGACCCTGGACTGTAATAAAGTATTTTTGTTGTTGTTGTTGTTGTTAGAATCATAAGCAACTGGGAGGGGAAAAAGTGTAAAGTGGTGCCTTCTGTTCCTTTTCAGATGTTTCGCCATTCCTCTCGCCAATATGTTGGGCATAAAGAAAACAAGGCGCGTGAAACCTCAGCCCAACCCCACGTTAGAGGCTTTTTTCAAAGAGTGTCGAAAACCATCGCAGGTAAGGATTTCAGAAAAACGAAAAGGACTCCTTGCGGGCTGCACACTTCCAAGCCATGCCCAGTCTCTCTGCTGCTATGTGTCTTCCTAAAAGGGATATATTTCGCTTGCTGGCTCAGGACTGGGGTTTCCAGTTGGATCTGCTAAAAAAAGTATGTGTGCTGGTATGGCGGTACCAGGAGCTCCAACTTTATTTGCTTTGTATTAAATGTTTGTTTGCAGTCCTAGGTTTCAGGGACTCTGCAGATAGGTGGCTTCCTTTGGTTGCAGTCATAGGGCAAGTCGCTTGTCCATCATCATTAAGTTTTGGTCCCGCCCCTTGCTCAGGGCAATTGGGAAGGGAAGGGAGCCATTTTTAGTTAGTCTCAGCAAGGAAAACTAATGTACAGGATGTGTGCAAGCTTCCCCTGTACAAAAGCTTCAACCCTTAAGACTTTCTGCAGGAGAACAGTCTTAAGAGCATCCAAAGATCTCCAAGACTTTCCGGGAGGAAACAGTCGTAAGAGCAAACCAGAGAACTCCAGGGAAGCCTCCCCAAAGCTTTGAGGACCTTCCAGGGGAGAACAATCTTAAGAGTCTCTAAAGATTTCCAGGGAAACAGCCCTAAAGACCAAAGAACTCCAGCTGGAGAACATCTAAGCCTTTACTGGTAGGTCCACTCGGCGTTCGAGACGCAGTTCGACCCAGTAGCGGAGCCCGCATCAGTAAGGGTTAGATTACAGTCAGCCTGGGAGAAGTTAAAAAGGGGACTTTCCTTTAAAGTAAAGAAGAAGTTATTGAAGACAGTTGCCTGTCCTTAGTCGGCAAGTTTAGAAAGTCACCAGTTGCATAAACACCTCGGAGTTTAAGATCTTCTGGGGAGGCCCTGCTCTCGGCCCCACCTCTATCACAAGTGAGATTGGTGGGGACGAGGAGCAGGGCCTTCTCGGTGGTGGCTCCTCACTTGTGGAATTCACTCCCTGGGGAAATTAGGTCATCAACATCCCTCCTCTCTTTCAGAAGGAAATTAAAAACATGGATATGGGACCAGGCTTTTGGGTAATCTGGCAGATAAACAAAGGACAAACGACGACCAGAATTGATGGTTTTGACAATGTGGAATGAATTTACGGACTCTGAGTTGGCAAACACTGAGCACTAGATTGGTTTTTATTGATTATGCTGTATAATGGATTGGTTAATTGTTTTAATCACTGTTTATATATGTTTTATTTTTATCTTATTGTTGTGTTGGCATCGAATTGTGCCTTTTGTAAGCCGCCCTGAGTCCCCCCTCGGGGGTTGAGAAGGGTGGGGTAGAATTGCGAGAAAATAATAATAATAATAATAATGTCTGGAAGTATTTGTTTAACTTTATTGAAGACAAGAGAAATTTCTGTTTGATCATTGATAAAGGACTTTGTTATATTTCACAAGCCATCATTTGTGGTGGAAAACCTCTGAGAACTTCTCCTTGGGCCCCTTGGCTTCCCGCTGGGCAAAGGTTGCACGTCCTGTTCTAAATGAAATTCTTTACAGGCCCAGCGCACGACAGAACACCTTTGTATTGATCTTTCACCTTTTGGGGCCTCTGCTCAGCAGAATGTGTTGGGAATCACCAGATGGTGCAAGCAGTCCAATGTGGGCTAGGCAAAACTACAGTGAGGTGGATCTGTAATTGGTTAAATGGACGAACCCAGAGGGTGATTCTCCCCAATGCTTCCTCTTCATCCTGGAAAGAAGTGACGAGCGGAGTGCCATCAGGAGGGTTCCGTCCTGGGCCCGGTCCTGTTCAACATCTTTATTAATGACTTAGATGAAGGGCTAGAAGGCAGGATCATCAAGTTTGCAGACGACACCAAATTGGGAGGGATAGCCAATACTCCAGAGGACAGGAGCAGGATTCCAAACCATCTTGACAGATTAGAGAGATGGGCCAAAACTAACAAAATGAAGTTCAACAGTGACAAATGCAAGATACTCCACTTTGGCAGGAAAAACGAAATGCAAAGATACAGAATGGGGGACTGCCTGGCTCGAGAGCAGTACGTGTGAAAAAGATCTTGGAGTCCTCGTGGACAACAAGTTAAACATGAGCCAACAATGTGATGTGGCTGCAAAAAAAGCCAATGGGATTTTGGCCTGCATCAATAGGAGCATAGTGTCTAGATCTAGGGAAGTAATGCTACCCCTCTATTCTGTTTTGGTTAGACCACACCTGGAATATTGTGTCCAATTCTGGGCACCACAATTCAAGAGAGATATTGACAAGCTGGAATGTGTCTAGAGGAGAGCGACTAAAATGATAAAAGGTCTGGAGAACAAGCCCTATGAGGAGCGGCTTAAGGAGCTGGGCATGTTTAGCCTGAAGAAGAGAAGGCTGAGAGGGATATGATAGCCATGTATAAATATGTGAGAGGAAGCCACAGGGAGGAGGGAGCAAGCTTGTTTTCTGCTTCCCTGGAGACTAGGACGGAACAATGGCTTCAAACTACAGGAAAGGAGATTCCATCTGAACATGAGGAAGAACTTCCTGACTGTGAGAGCCGTTCAGCAGTGGAACTCTCTGCCCCGGAGTGTGGTGGAGGCTCCTTCTTTGGAAGCTTTTAAACAGAGGCTGGATGGCCATCTGTCAGGGGTGATTTGAATGCAGTGTTCCTGCTTCTTGGCAGGGGGTTGGACTGGATGGCCCATGAGGTCTCTTCCAACTCTTTGATTCTATGATTCTATGATTATTGAACAAATTGAATGGAGACGCATTTTTGCTGCCCACGTTGTTGCATTTTGCAGGGAAACTGGCATGGCAAGATTAGGGAGAGCTGGGCTGAGACTATCTCTCATCTCATCTCACGGTGTTATATTGTTTTTTTCCCACTGGCCTGGCTCCCTCCCTTGAAATGAGTCAGGCTAGGAAAACCAGAAAGAAACAAAGGACCTGTTTTGATGCAACCCGGCACAAAGAGGCAAGGCAGGTGAGCCTGCGCTTCGTACACCCACATGGATTCTGAATTCTCAGATTTTCCAAGTTCCTCTGCTGAGATTTGTATCTAGACACATAACCACTCCTTCCTTCCTTCTTAAAGGCCTGGGATAAACAACGCAAGAGCAGGAGGATTAGGAGAGAGATTAGGATCAAGGGGAGTTGGAACCCACTCCACCCCATTATCCCTAAGCCCCTGAAACCAGGAGAACGGACGTCTCCACTGGGTCTGTGCAGATTTCATGCAATCCCATCCACTCTGTTGTTTGCAGAGTAATCTTTCTGGATTTGGGTTGCCGTGAGTTTTCCGGGCTGTCTGGCTATGTTCCAGAAGCATTGTCTCCTGATGTTTCACCCAGATCTATGAAAGCATCCCCAGAGGTTGTGGGCTCTGTTGGAAACCAGGCAAGTGGAGTTTATAGATCTGTGGAATAATGTCCAGGGTGGGAGAAAGAACTCTTGTCTGTTGGAGGCAAGTGGGAATGTTGCAATTGGCCACCTTAATTAGCATTGAATAGCTGCAAGGCTATTGAAGTTGCAAGGCTACTCAATGCTAATCAAGCTGGCCAATTGCAACATTTACACCTACCTCAGAGAAAACTTCCTTCTCTCACCCTGGACCTTATTCCACAGATACATATAAAACCCACTTGCCTCATTTCCAACAGACTTCTATGCAGATATCCTCACTGACTGACTTTGCAGCTGCAAGATTACTCACTCAGTGCTAATCAAGCTGGCCAGTTGCAACATCCACACCTACCTCAAACAAATAAGAATTCCTTCTCCCACCCTGGACATCATTCCACAGATACATACTGTATAAACCCCACTTGCCTCATTTCCAACAGACTTCTATGCAGATATCCTCACTGATTGACTTTGCAGCTGCAAGATTACTCAGTGCTAATCAAGCTGATGAATTGCAACATTTACTCTTGCCTCCAAGAGACAAGAGTTCTTTCTCCCACCCTGGACATCATTCCACAGATATATAAACCTCACTTGCCTAGCTTCCAACAGACCTCACAACCTCTGAGGATGCCTGCCATAGACGTGGGCAAAATGTCGGAAGAGAATGCTTCTGGAACATGGCCAACCAGCCCAGAAAACTCACAGCAACCCAGTGATTCTGGCCATGAAAGCCTTCCACAACAGATTTTGGATTTGTAAGTACCCACTAGCAGATTCTGATCTTAAATAGTATGCAAAATAATGTGTCCTCTTCTGCTTATAAAACATAAAGGTTTCCCCTGACATTAAGCCCAGTTGTCTCTTACTCTGGGACTCTGGTGCTCATCTCCATTTCTAAGCCAAAGAGCCAGCATTGTCCATAGACACTTCCAAGGTCATGTGGCCACTGGCAGGACTGCATGGAGTGCTGTTACCTTCCTTATTGATCTACTCACATTTGCATGTTTTCAAACTGCTAGGTTGGCAGGAGCTCGGGCTAACAGCAAGAGCTCAACCCACTCCCTAGATTTGAGCTGCCGACCTTTTGGTCAGCAAGTTCAGCAGCTCAGCATTTTAACTCGCTGCACCACAGGGGACTCCAGTTCTGCTTATAGGTATTTGCATAAATGTACTTTGTATTTCATATTTGGACCTCTTTCCCCATCTTTGCTATCTCCAAAGGATAGTTCTTGGGAAGACCAGCTACAACAGTGTTTCTCAACCTGGGGGTCGGGACCCCTGGGTGGGTTGCGAGGGGGTGTCAGAGGGGTCACCAAAGAACACCAGGAAAACACAGTATTTTCTGTTGGTCATGGGGGTTCTCTGCGGGAAGTTTGGCCCAATTCTGTCGTTGGTGGGGTTCAGAATGCTCTTTGATTGTAGGTGAACTATAAATCCCAGCAACTACAACTCCCAAGGTCTATTTTCTCCAAACTCTACCAGGGTTCACATTTGGGCATATTGAGTATTTGTGCCAAGTTTGGTTCAGATCCATCATTGTTTGAGTCTACAGTTCTCCCTGGACGTAGGTGAACTATAACTCCAAAACTCAAGGTCAACGCCCACCAAACCCTTCCAGTATTTTCTGT